AGAAAAAACAAAAAAAAGGAAATTATATATATATATATATATATATATATATATATATATATATATATGCTTTTCGACATTTGCTTCATGGTATGAAATGATGCTCATAGCTCCTCCTTCAGTTCCATCGCGCGAGAATGGTAGCAGAGAACTCCGAGGCGATGGAGCCCGAGCAGGCATCTTTAGGAGAGCATGAAAACGCTGCCGGAGGCGCTTCCGAGTTCCTCATCGATCTCCCCTCCCGTGGCTTCTTCTCCCGGGAAAGCTTAGGAGCATACGTATGTGACCACGAAACTTCTCCCCCAGAGGAGCAACTGATTAAGACAAATTCCTCGAACATATTGATTAGATCACTTCAAATTAACAAACTGAAGACCGTTGCCAAGGATGCCAAAGCTTCAGTGGAGATCACTAAAGGCAAAAGATCTGCTTCAAGACCATTGGACGGCAAACCTTCAAACAAAAGAACCAAGACTGGTGCTACTTCTAGCAGTGGTAGGCAGGAGGGATCAAGATCTGCGTTTTCTGAGAGAATGCTTCATACAATAACTGGAGAGGCTACGTGCACTTCTCAAGGAGAAAGGACTCTCACCTAAAGGATGAACTTATATCAAGCTTAAGAGATGAATCTTAGTCAAAGAATCAACATTTCTTCGCTATAAAGATAGAAATATATACTTGTTTTTGTCCAATATTTGAGTACTTTTGTAGTTTTGATTTTTTTTTTTCAATATTCTGAAACCGAAGCATGGATAAATGCTGTAGGTTACATTTTGTTTTAAAAAAATTATTTCTTTTATCGATTTTTATGTAATTTAAATATATATTTATATCTATGTGTGTGCATTCGCGCGTGCATGTCATGAAAACATGAGAAGAATATCTTTTGTTTATATGTTATTTTGAAGAATTTGATTAGTTAAAATGTCATTATTTTATTTTCTCGGAGCTTTATTCTTGTACATACTACTCTTGGTGTAATTTGAAACTCTATATGAAGGTAATGAATCATTCTTTTAGAGTTCTAATAATTGGGTTTTAAATCTTCATATGCCTGATTTTTCTACTTTGTAAGAAAAAATTGAGATCTATCAGTAGCAAAGGCATGATTCTATGTCTTAACGTCGAAGATAATCTAGTTGCTTATCATAGAGGTTCTCCTCAAAAGTTCTGATATTGTATTGTATTTTCTTCATTTTGATTATTCATTTGTTGATTTGTGGAGGTTGGATTGAAGAAAATTTTAAATTGATGTCATTACTTTTCCCCAATTGACAACCTCTTCCAAGAAATATGTGGCCTAGTATTTGTACTTATAACGAGCATACCAATTAATTCAACTTTTTGAAGTGCTTGTTGTAGAGGAGCGCCAATTTCCTCTTTGGCTTGAGGAGATTAAATATTTGTTGAAATACTTAAAAAGTTGAAATGACCATCAAAGGTCTAGAATCAACTACTTATTTGGTTTGATGAAAATGAAAATAATTAAAGCACAACATTATGTACATCTTTATTATACTTGTTTGAGTGTAGTTGCCCCAAAAAAGGTCTGCGAGCTAAGTTTCATTCTAAATAAACGAATAAGCTCCAAATCAAATCAAACATAAACAGGCAAGCTGCCGTTGTTCTCATGAAAGAAACAAAATGATTTAATCACAAACAATTCCCTTAAATAATATTCACACGTTGTTCTGATATATACACTTAAAGAAATTGACGATGACTACAAAAGTAGTCTGCAAATTCAAAAAATTTCCTTAACAATCTTTAAAATAAGTATATCCATTGTGGCAAAATGTGTCGCCACTTTCAAGCTCTATAACATAAGGCATATGATGCCATTTGCTCCTTGAATAGATGAGCCAAAATTTCAGTAAAATGCATTGAAAAAGTGAGTATTGATTGGATTTCTTGTTGGAGCTTTCCCAAGAAGTTGAGTTGAGTCTGCCTGGATTGCTTTGTAGGAGCTGTTGGTCAGAAATGGAAAATTGTTAAAATCAATGAACGCATGATTCAACTTTAAACCAAATAAGCAAAAGAGAAAAGGGGAAAGGAAAAGAAAAGCTTTTTTGATCTTTTGGTTTGAGGATAAGATTGAGGTTTTCTACTAATTATACTCTTTTTTTTTCTCCATCAACTTCCACTTCTTTTAAAAAGGAGGTTGCATTCATATTAAAGATGAATGATTGAGAATGCTATGAAACTCTTATAAGATATCATTAAAGCCCCCTACATCAGAATTTCATAACACGCAACTTTAAAGATGATTAATTATAGTTATTTACAATGTAGAGATTTTTATAGTTCAAGTAGAATGATGACTTGAAACACTCAAGTATTTCAAGAATAAACTTTACCGGTGAGAGAAACCATGATCAATAAGGTTGGATTAAATAAGGAAATTCTATGATAATGCATTGACATTATGAACATTTAGGTGATTTACGGAATAATAGTCTTAATGACCAGACTGATGCAAATTTAAGTCTTTCATATAAAAAAAAAACAAAAAAAACTAGCTAGATCTATAATGCTTAAATGAATGCATTCAGAGAAGTAAAAAACTACAATCAATGTTTTTATTGCAAAAAAAAAATTCAAACAACATTACTGATGCGTGCTAGAAAATTCACGGCGGTAGAGTAATGAATTATCGTCTTAGCGTTGCGCGAGGATTCAACACACACTCAGATAAAAATGAATCAAGCTGTGACGACACCAACGTGGAAAACCCGTAAAGAAAACCCGTAAAAGGGAAAAATCACTGGGCCTGACCTAGTTGTAAAAATCCACTATAAGTTGATGATTACAAATGTCCCTTGTCCCCAAAATTTTTGCTGTGCGGACTCCTGACGTAGCTCTATGTGCGGCGTAGGGTATTCCTGAGTTATTTTTAGTTATTTCAGGATTGATTTCAATAATCCCGAAATAACCCAGAAACAACCTGCGGTCTTTATTTTTTGGTTATTTCTGAGTTACTTTGGGATTATTGAAAATAACCCTGAAATAACTTAAAAATAACTCAGGAATACCCTGCACCGCACGTAGACCTACGTCAGGTGTCCGGACAGAAAATGCGCCCCCCTTGTCCCACAAGCGGGAAAGACTTTCTAAGTTACAATGTCGACTAACGACGTCTAGTCAGCGGTGGTCGACGAAGGTCGGCGGTGATCGACGGTATTGACGATAATCGATGCCGGGTCAGCGTGGTCGATGAAAGTCAGCGATGGCTAACGACAGTCGATGACGGTCGGCGGTGGTCGGCAAAGGGCAAGCAGAGGTCAGCGGTGATCGTTGGTGATTAACGGTGGTCGGCGGTGGTTGACAGAGGTCGGTGGTGATGGTTGACGGTCAGTGCTGGTCGACAACGATCGACGATGGCGGGGATGCTCTTGGACTTGAGCTCCTTCTCAAAGCCTCAGGTTCTCTCTTAAGCCTCTCCCTTTCATGTGAGGGGCGAGACTCTATTTATAGTGTTTTGAGTGCAATTAATGCAGGAATATGAACCATTTTGATCGGACGGTCCGGAGAGCTTCCCTTGATCATATGACGTTTGATGGACATTTGAGTGCCTTAACGATTTTGGAATTGACCAATCTTGGGCTCATTGGATTCGTCTTGTCGAGATACTCAATTTGACTATGAACTCGCTAGATTCGATATCTGTTTGACCTTTCAAATACCTCCAGAAATCCTCCAAGAGTGGTTTAATTATTTGATTTGGGCTTGATTTGACTCGGATTGGACTGACTTTTATATCATTAGGTTCGTCTCATCAAGTCGATCAGTTTGACTATAAATTTGCTGAAATCGGAGCTTTGGATGACTCTTAATCAAAGTTTGAATGTTTCTTATTTAAAAAATTGCACCGAGATTCGTGCTGGCTAATGAAAATTTGTTGGTGACGTATCAGTTGTCCCCCTATTTTCGGGCGAAATCATTTTTTTTCGTCTGAAAATATTAAGATCTTTAAAACACGCCTTCATAACTTTATATATATATATATTTATATATCATTTTTTACAAATAAAATTATTATTTATTCTAAATAGAATATTAAATTGAGCCCAGCTCAGTTGGTAGTTCATTTTTTGCCACTTTGCAGGTAGCGTGGGATCAAATCCCTCCCAACTCAATATGTATATTAATTAAACCTATGGGCCATAGCGGGGCAGGAGGCTATGGCCCGAAGCAGGGTTGAATGCTAAACGGGCCTCTGAACTCTTGGGCTAAACGCTGAACGAGCCTCTGGCCTCTGAACTCCTGGCAGCTGAACGTGCCTCTTGGGCTGAACGCTGATCTGAACTCCTGGCAGCTGAATGCTAAACGGACCGCAGCTGAACGACTGAGCAGGAATCCAAAGGGCCACAAAGCAGTCGAAATTATATAATGAACGGACCATTTAATGCTGAACGGGCTGCCACAAAGCAGTCAAAATTAATTAAAGAACGTGTCATTTAATGTTGAACGGCCCTCTGGCAGCTGAACGGGCTAAGCAGGAATCCGAGGGTCACAAAGCAGCCGAAATTAATTAACGAACGGGTCATTTAATTAATTAATTAAAGAATTCCAAGGTCCACGATTGCAGCATGATTTAAATAAAAAATAGACATTTAAATGTATATTTTTTAAGTCACAAAATGTGAAGAGTTTTTTTTATTAATTTATTTTTTAATTAATTTCAATCATAAAAAAAAAAATTTAAAGGCTAAAAAATTGAAGGAATATGAAATGAAAAGTTTTTTTTTAATAAATAACTATTTTTTTAATGACTAATTAATTTTATCATGAATATGAGGGGTTTTTCAGCGAGAGGAGAAAAAAGGTGGAGTCCCTGTCCCTGCCTAGAAGGTGATCCGGGATTTCCCAAAAGAAGAAAGTCATCCTCGTCTTGCGTAGCAGGCAAGCAACGAGATCTTCTTTCTCGTTGCGGCGAAGAGTTGTGGTGAAGTGTTGCGGCAAAAGATTGCGGCGAAGAGTTGCGACGAAAAGTTGCGGCGAAATGTTACGGTGAAGTGTTGCGGCGAAACGTTACGGCGAAGACTTGCGACAAAACGTTTCGGCGAAGACTTGCGACAAAACGTTGCGGCGGAGCATCTCGGCAGGGTGCCGCGGCGACGCTTTGCGGCGGGGCATTGTGACCACGCGACACTTTGTGGTGGAGTGTCGCATATTCCAGAGGAAACTCTCGTGCTGCTCTAGCACGTTATGAAAGTGATGAAGAAATGATGTAGTTTTCTCGCCTCGCCATGAGGAGGAAATTTTCATGCTTATGTGGTGGTGATATCTGGAGACCCCTTGATGATCATCAGAAATACTGAAATTTTAGGAAAGCGATGCCGACTCTAATTGAAGATGAACTGATTTGTTGTAGCCCTTGTACATATATATGTTGGTATTTGTAGCATTTTTATTCATCTGATGTGACAATTGTAAATGATAACAATATATTTTTTTGTTGCTTCCAAGGTTGTTGTGGTTTCTTAATTGTGCAAAGTTCTTCTGAAACTCGTAGTCTTCTGAGGAATGTTTATGCACTTGTGTCTTCTGAGGCTTGTAGCCTTCTGAGGTCTTTGATGTACCTGTGCCTTCTGAGGCTTGTAGCCTTTTGAGATTTTTGAGTGGAGATTCTGTCAAACACTTGCTCTCATGGAGTCTTTCTAGTGAGGACCCTGTTCAAAACTAGCTTCCCATCGAGACTTGCCTCTTGGGCTCGCCTTCCAGGGATATGGTAGCTTCTCATTGAGTCTTGCCACTTGGGCTTGATTTTTAGGCGTACCATATCTTCCCGTCGAGTTTTGCCTCATGGGCTCGACTTTTAGGGGTATAACTTCTCATCCTCAAGGGGGTCTTATACACAAAAATCTTTCATGAGAAAATAAGAAAATTTCATTGAAATTATAAGAAAATTTCATTGAAATGATATTTTAAAGTAACATAAAAATTTTTCTAAAATAAAATTAAGAGTTTATAAGTTAGTCTTTTATTCAGATAATATGAATTGTAGTTATACTTCTCATTCGATAACTCCAACAGTTATCTTTTGGTTCCCCTCACATTGTTCTTGCAAGTAGAGATCTAGGTAATCTTTCTGTATTAGATGTTCAATTTCTTCCTTTAATTGAAAATATTTTTCTGTTAAATATCCTTTTGCATCGTAGAAATGACAATATTGAGACTGGTCTCCACCATCTGAATTTCTTAAAGACTTTGGCCACTTGACAGTCTCTTCATCCTTGATTGTCATTAAGATGTTAACACGTGACATGTTGAGTGGCGTGTATTCTTTTTCTGATCGTTGCTCACGATTCCCTTGTGGCCTAAACTTTTTTCGTTGTGAGAATTGATTGGTATCCCCAACGTTATTCTTGCGCTTGCCCCCCAATCGCTCAAATTGTTCCTTATGAGCAATGATGACCTCATCTGCAGAGATTCGTGCCTCAACACGGTGAACAAGGTCAGCATAAGAATGAACCATCTCCCGCATCAATGATGAGTAGAAAGGTCCTAGGCGGAGCCCCCCAAGGAAGACTCCTCTTAGTAACTCTGGATCTACTCCCGGGATCTGCTGGGCTTCAGTAGAAAACCTGCGGAAGTAATCCTTCAATAATTCTCCTTCGCTTTGACGAATTCCCGAGAGATGGGATGAATCCTTGATGATCCGTCGGTTTGCTACAAACTGTTCTACAAACAGTATGGCAAGCTCATTAAAGGTGTTTACCGTGCCCCATGATAGAGAGTAGAATCAGGTTCGAGCTTGTCCTTTAAGAGTAGCCAGGAAAACCTGACACAGAAGTGCATCAGAGGCACGCTGAATGTGCATGATAGTTCAATAATGATTAATATGTTCGTATGGGTCGGTTATCTCTTCATATGTATCGATGTTTGGAAACTTGAAGCCTGTTGGGATGGGGGTGTTGGTGGACCGCATCCACTAAGAGAGAGGATTCATGTATGTTGCAGTGAGTGTAGAAACGATCCTTTTTCTCTAGGGGAAACTCTTCCCGGACGAGGCGTCATAGTTCTTTACGAATGACATCACCTGAAATGATAGGAAGATGTGGCGATGTCGGATGAGTTGCACGAGATGGATGAGTGGAACTTGCGGTATCTAGGAGTTCAACATCAAGTCCTGACAGGGGATGTGTTCCTTCTTGAGGAGACGGGCTAGTACGAGTTCCTTCGAGCGGTATGTTTCTCATACATTACGGAGTTAATGGTGTAGGTAGCGGTTGTTGAGCCCCACGTAGGAGCTGTAGGATTTCTAGTTGAGAATCCTCCATTCTACGCATTCCTATAGAAAGACCTGAAACACCTTCGTTGGCAGGATAACATCTTCTAGGGCGGGAAGATGAAGAAGCATGCCTCCCTTGGCTTCGTGACTGCTCCCTCGAACAATTGGTGTTGGAGTGGGATGCTCCGTTGTCACGAACATTGTGTCTGGTGGCCATGTAGTAAACCGCGTAAGTGCTTTAGTTGTAGGATTGAAACTTTCCCACAGATGGCGCCAAACTGATGCGTGCTAGAAAATTCGCGGCGGTAGAGTAAAGGATTATCGTCTTAGCTTTGCACGAAAATTCAGCACACACTCAGATGAAAATGAATCAAGCTGTAATAACACCAAAAGTTTTTACGTGGAAAACCCGTAAAAAGGGAAAAACCACGGGGCCTGGCCCAGTTGTAAAAATCATCCTACAGGCAGGAAGGGCTACTAGCTTTCTAAGTTACAATGTCGACTAACGACGTCTAGTCAGCGGTGGTCGACGGAGGTCGGCGGTGATCGAATGTGATCGACTGTAATTGATGACGGTCAGTGGTGATCGGTGGAGGGCAACCGTAACCAGAGGTCAGCGGTGATCGGTGGTGATTAACGGTGGCCGACAGTGGTTGACAGAGGTCGGCGGTGATGTTCGACGGTCAGTGGTGGTCGACGACTATCGATGATGACATGGATGATCTTGGACTTGAGCTCCTTCTCAAAGCCTCAAGTTCTCTTAAGCCTCTCCCTTTCATGTGAGGAGTGATACTCTATTTATAGTGTTTTGAGTGCAATTAATGCAGGAATGTGAAACATTTTAATCAGATGGTCCAAAGAGCTTCCCTTGATCAGATGACGTTTGATGGACATTTGAGTGTCTTAACAATGTTGGAATTGACCAATCTTGGGCTCATTGGATTTATCTTGTCGAGATTCTCGATTTGACTATGAACTCGCTAGATTCGACATCCGTTTGACCTTTCAAATGCCTCTGGAAATCCTCCAAGAGTGGTTTAATGATTTGATCTGGGCTTGATTTGACTTGAATTAGACTGACTTTTATATCATTAGGTCCGTCTCATCAATCCGATCAGTTTGACTATAATTTTGTTGAAATCGGAGCTCTGGATGACTCTTAATCGAAGTATGAATGTTTCTTGTTTAAAAAATTACACCGAGATTTGTGCTGACTGATGAAAATTTGTTGGTGACGTGTCAATTACTTAACTCGATATCATCTTAAACGTCTATGGAAGAATCATCACAGACATTAGTATCATCCCTGTCTCATCCTTTTGCTAGGAAATGACTCTAATAGTTCTGCAGTTTTAAGAGAATATGTAAAAATTATGACACGAGAGTGCAGTAATTGGATGTGTTATTACAGAAGTAACAACTCAATTTATGGGAAAAAGAAGCACCTCAGTGGCCTTCCACAGCTCACACGTTTTTCCTTTCCTTTGTGATTCCAATTACTTTGAATCATAAAATATTCATGGAATTCAGAATCTGTCTCAAGGGATCGAAAATGAGAAAATTTGATCATGAAACAGTAAACTGAAAATGACTAGTAGCAATTCTTGGCTTTAATTCTTATATTTAAGACTTCTGATCGGATGTGCCAGAAAGCTCAATGAGCTTAAACATGTCTACCTTGAGCCGCATGTTAAAATAGCATTCAAGTTTAACATGAAAAAACTTCAATTGAAATAGTGTATCAATTCAAAAATTACCTTGTGTTTCTTAGCACAGATAAACTGCAACTGCTATAAAGACAGGACGGTTGAAGTCAGTTTTTGCTCTGTGAGAGGCTGGTAATGCAGCTAAAAATCTATCTTTGTAGCTGAAAGTAGTGGGCATATAGTAAATATGTAATTCTAAGTATGCAAAAAATCAAACATAATGAGCCGGAAGCATTGGATTAAGCTTGTTAGAATGCACAACAAAAAGAGTAAACTTGAAGCAGAAAAGACAATTGCTCACAGAGATAATCCCTTCTGCACAAACGAAAGAAATAAGCCTCACGCAACCGAACTGGATCACATGCTCCCAAACATCTACCCTTGCCCTGCAGAAGAATCCAAGTGTCAAAGGCTGATTTTAGCTTTCCAACTAAAATTAAACACACACAAAATCCAATCTAAGAGAAGAAGATAGTGTTTAAGAGAAAAAACAAAAATAAAAGAGAAGAAAGAAACTAACTTGGCTACAATCTTGTTCTGCATTGCATTGAAACATCTAATATAAGCCTTTTCAGACATTCCGTTCAACCAAATTGCCGCTGAACGATCAAAGATCATTTGCAACCTATAAATAAACTTCCATCATTCTCAACTTAAATGATTCAGAGGGCAAACAGTCCTCAATTCGTACCTAGAAGAAATGATTTCCAAGAAAACAATTGCTTTCACGACCTCCCCTGTTGATATGAAGTAAAGTGCCAATTATAACTCACAAACTGTTAGATGGAAAAGCCGAAATGAGGTGCTTAGCACTCCCGTGATCGAGGAATCAGACTGAACGTCGGATAGACGGCGGATCTCCTAGCCTTAAAGATGAGAGCCTTTGACTTGGAGTGGCGTAGCCTGGCGGCGATAGAAGAGATATCCATGGATGCTGACAATAGATATCTGAGAAAAATGCGAGTTTTGCTTCACAGGTGCCTGTTGCGAATTTTAGGTTCTCTGGCAACGAATTTAGACCCGGATTTAGGCTCAGGGCCCCTTTGGGCAGCTTGAAAATGCAGCCTCAGTGTTTGTTTCTGTGAGTTTTTAAAAACTGTGTTTCCTAATTTCTATTACACGCGGATCGCGGGAGGCTCCCACGGTCTGGCGTTTCCTTCAGCATTTGATGTTGTTGCCCCTGTTTGCGTTTGCCTTCCTCCCGACTCTGCTCAAAAACCCTCGCCCACTTCCCCTTCCTCCTGGCTCCGCCCAAAAACCCTCATTATCAAAACCCTCCCCGTCGCTTCCTCTCACAAAGAGAAACTTATCTCCCCTGGTTACACAACTCTTTCGTCTCCGCCTTCCGCCTTGCCCAAGGTACAGTAGCTCTCCTTTACTGACCAGTGTAAATTGCATTTTAATGATTTTTTTATTTTGCAAGTTGTTACTCTTTATTCTTGCCCGATGGCCACTGTATCTTCTCAGGAAATCGATTGCTTAATTTTTAGCTGTGTAATTTTTGGAATTATGATGTACAATTCCTCTAATGTTGGACAAAGATTGTTGGGCTTCTTTAATCTTGCCCGATAGCTACTGTATCTTCGTAGTTTATTGGGCTTCTTATCTAGTTGAGACCTAGAATTTTAGAGGGATTTAAGGGGGTTTACAAGTATAACACTTAAGAGTTTCTTCCTTAAATATCAAATATCCAAACCTTCAACGCAATGAGATAATCCATCTTGTAAGAGAAGATGTATTTCACCGAGAAATTGAGTGGTATGTATGTAAAACTTTCTTAAATTTACCATGTTATAGCTTTAACGCAATGAGATAATCCATCTCATTTTTCATTAGCTTATGCATATCATTTGGGGTTAGTTTTATTAAACCTTAGTTTTACAATGAAATTAAAACTCAGGTCACAGTTTAGAAATAAGAACATAATAGGAATGAAAGCATGTATTTGGATCTGTACAATTAAATTGGCTTGAGTGGTATGTTCTGCTTTAACATTATTAGTGCCTAACTATAGATTAGTTCTGTACAACATCTGAGCAATCAAGTGCTTTGTCATATCCCTCATATCCAATCCACTCCAAGTCTTACATGCAGATTTCATCTCTGCTTTGCCATCTTCGAGCTATGTGCTTGAAATTTGTTCACTAATCTCAACATGGTGTTGCTTTAGCTTTCCTATCTTTTTTTCTCTTTTCAATGATGAGTTCAAGGTGCAACTACAAACATTTCTCTCTTGAATTGGACACCAAATTATTTATTCAACTAAATTTTTTTTGCAAATAAGCTGTTTATAAAATGCACAAACCAAACAGTAAAACAGAACAGGGGCAAAATGATCATTTATCCAGAATTAACTGTTTTACTTATCCAGAACATGGGCAAAATGATCATTTATCCAGAATTAACTGTTTTCCAGACGCACAAACCAAACAGTAAGACAGCTTATCTGGATCAGCTGCTCATCAGCAAATTATCAGGATACTCATCAGCAAATTAGAAGCTGGATAAGCTGCAACTGCCCCAAACAGACCCAAATCTGCTAGACAATCAGTTTGGACAAATTAAAGCCGTGGTTTTGATAAATCTGGGAAGAGCGAGGAGAAGTGCGAACAGGCTTACCTTCTTCAATCCTTGATTTTTTCAGGGAGGAGCTGAGCTGAGGGAGGAGAACATGGGAGTTTTTGTGGTCTCAACACGTACGTGGGAACAAAAGCAAAGGGAAGCAAGCATGTGGGAACAAAAGCATTGGAAATTCTTCCACTCCTTTCTATTCTAAATTCTAATGTAAATTATAAAATGGTAGCCTACCACCCACTCAAAAGATTGAAATTTAAAATAAATACACTATTTCTTTATATTAGCCAAATCTTATTTAATTCTTAATAAATTTATAATAAAATTCGTATAGAAACTTTCATGTAATCCATTTACCAACCACAAATATTGATGAAGCATTTGTAATACACGTTTTTATTAATGAGAGAACATGTAGAGCAACACTATAAGTATTTCTATAAATTTTTTAATTTTTAGTATTTGCTAGCACATTAAGTACTTGAAGGAGCTTTATTATGCTTCTTAAGGAGCATTTTAACAAGCTTGGAAAATTAAATTTCAAGGGCTCAATTTGTTATTAGTTTTGTTTTTACTTTTGCTTTTAACAATATGCTTGTCTAGTATGTTATTTTACAAGTTTTTTTTAAATAATGTCGGGAATATTTTGGTTGGAGGAGTTGTCCGTAAGAAGCTGTCGGTCACCGGAATTGAAATCTTGTTGCCGCTTTGGAAGGACATTTTAATGTTTAGAAAAATATGAAATCAAACCGACCCCATATTTTTTATAGTTTAAATGAAAGAGCGTTGTACCTCAAAGCCTGTGTCTATCCCGAATGATAAACACAAGACTTGAGGATGATGCTCAATCAAGTAAATTGAGAAATATATGAAGTTCGTTTGGTCTGCAAAACTGTTCTATTTGCTAACAATTTCTCCTATTTATTATGAAGAATTAAATAGGGTTTATATTAAGCTGAGTTCGGAAAAAACTTCCTATAAGGGCAAGCCCCTATAATTAATTACATCTTAAATGACCGAAGTCATCTAAGAAAACTCTCGATAAAAATAAGGAAATATTATCTTTAAGGATTTTAAAAGGATAGGACTTTTCAACGATATCAAACAAAGATGTGTGAAATGGGATTGACTCAAATTTGAAGCATTTTTGTTTTTGGAATCCAAAGGAGAAATAACTAGAGGATGTCATTGATCCGAAGGAGAACCTTAGTGACTTCCTGGTCTATCCTATGGGTTGGCTTTAATTTTGAGGATAAATATTTAAGTGTTTCATCCTGCCAATTTTATTTGTTAGGGCTTACATTTGTGTGAAACGATCGCACAAATAACCTAAAAGATGTGAGGATTTAGGTCATGAAGGACGACAACCTCAGAATCCTAAGGCGAGTTAGGGCTTAGATTGCACAACATAATTGTGCAAATGCCTAAATATAAGGTGAGGATTTATGTTGCATAAATAAACAACCTCGAAGTCTTACAGATTTGTTGTTTAATTCTAAGGAAGGAATGATTTAGCTGGGGAAGACATATTTTGCTGTTGAAGATGGCCACGCTGCCCACCATGCTAGCTCCAAGCTCCTTGCCGTGATGAGTTTGAGTTTTCTAGGATGATGTCAAATCAGGTGGCCCTATGGTTGAAGTTCTTTAAATTTTATGGGGCATGTTAAAGTTGATTAGAGCAACATCGGTTAAGATCCCATGGTTCCCTTGTTCCGACACAACTATTTTCTATTGGATTCACTTAGTCCAAATGAATTTATTAAACTCAACTTAATGAGTTCCATAATTTCTTTTGGACCGTGGGAAGTCTCGTTAGCAACCATAGGTTACTTCCTCTGAGGGATTCCCGATCATCTGATAGAGATGTCTTAATTTAGTTGTAGTTGTTGTTTTGTGTGATGTTTGTGATTAAATTTTGAGTTGTTTTATATTTTAAATGTTGTGGAGGTGATTTTCATCTTGGTTGATTTTAGTTTTAGTTTTCATTTTGGTTTTGTGGCTATCCTGACAGCTTTAGTTTTCATGCAGAGTGACATCATTGTTTAGCATACAAGTTTGTGTCAGCAACAAAAGTACAGTATGAAAGTACAAGAAATATGACACTGTAAACTGTAAAAACGTACCTGACGAGTCTTCTCATTCCACGACCTGAAACTCAAAATGCACGTCAGAACATTTTATGTAAAGCAGAAGAAGTAAGGTTTTAGTGACCTTCTTAACCCTAGGTCACATCTTGGTGGGTGTCTATGGGTTTAATTAAGGATGATTTTTGTTAAGTAAAATATATTAAGTAATAGACCTCTGAGGTATCCAACAGGTCTAGAGGATGAAGCAAGTCCATGCTCTCGTCTCACTACCTGGTAAAAAGTCTCGAGCTCATTTTAAACTTATTATGTTGCTTAATAATTCATCATATAAAAATACTTTTAATGCTCAGTGAACATTGATGTTTCAATTATCCCTATGAGTAAGGTAATTATCACTTGTGATTTAATTTGAGGATTATGGAGTGAGGACCATTAAAGGGGCAAGTTAATGTTATCAAGGCACTCAGCCAACTTTTTAATTTGGGCTTGTAGTGTTTGAAAGATGTTCAATTTTAAACTATGTTCTCTTTTCTAATCCTCATTTAACCAAATTTGACTTAGCCTAGGTCACTACTAAGCCCTTAAGATTTTGGTAGATCTCTTTGTTATTATTTTTTTTGAAAGTGATTGAATTTTAAGTGATGATGATTCATTTTTGAAAGTCATTTGAACATCAAATAGGGTTGTTAAATTGGTGAGTTATCAACACCCAAAATCATACCCCTAAGTTTGGGATCATTTGGTTGACTAGACTTCCAAATTTTAATAATTTAAGGAAATTACAAATTTATCCCTTGATTATAGAAAGAGTGACGTTGGTTTCTACCAATTAATTTTCTTGTGTTCAATCATCCAAAAAAGTTAGTTAAAATTAGTGGTTACCCTTTTACCTCCTTGAATTAAGCCTAAATTTTAATTAAGACTAAATTTAAAAAATTACATTTTTGCCCCTAAGACTCTAATACTTCATAATTTATCAAATTTAATCCAAATGAATTTGAAATTTTTATCCCACCTCACTCATGGTTCAAATAAAACATTAGAGGAGAAAATATGATTTTTCAAATTTTAATTTAATTTACATATTTATTTTTATGTAAAAATAGGATTTTTTTCAAAGAAAATTCCATAACTTGACCAAGGCAAAGCCTAATCTCTTAAAATTTTTACTGGAGGTAGAATTAGACCAGAGAATCATTTGGATAAAATTTCATTTTTATTAAGTTTTATTTGAATTATTAAAATTGTTTCAAGTTATGGAGTGTTTATTAATTATAAAATGTTTTAAATGTGAAAATTAAGTTTTATATTTTTAAAAAAAATTCCCTAAGATCAGAGAATCTAGAGA